CCTTCCTTCCTTCCTTCCTTCCTTCCTTCCTACCTACCTACCTACCTACCTACCTACCTATCTATCTATCTATCTATCTATCTATCTATCTATCATCCATCCATCCATCATCTATCTATCTATCTATCTATCTATCTATCTATCTATCTATCTATCTATCTATCTATCTATCTATCTATCTATCTATCTATCTATCTATCTATCTATCTATCCCTTCTAACTGGAAAGCACACATTTTCTTTGTATTATTTCATCTATGACAGACATGTTAAACTCGTGACATCATGTGACATCGCGCGACGTATCGGGACTGTTTTGCCATTGCCGGCAATGGGGTGGGCGCGGCTTCCATGTGACGTGTCTGGCCCACGGGCTAGCAGTTTGACACCCCTGATCTATGACCATACATTGAATAAGCAAAATTAAACCTAATTAACATTCCTGGTCTGTGTCACTTCTCGCTTCCTCATAGCCTGATCTGCCTAATTTTGCAATTCTTCATTCAGTGGGATTCCTACCTTAAAAGTTCAGATATCTAAATCTATTTTGCATCTTGATTAGCCTTTGATCAACATTCCAAACTCTTAAAGTTCAATCAGAAAACAGTCAAAACGGACTGGGAAAAAGGTTATACAATATATGATTTGGGGTTTATTCCACCTGCTGGCCCCAAAGCACCTTTTTCGTATACATCTACATTTCCAGACTTTGGAACAATTAGGCAAGAAACTGTTTAAGAGCACTGTTTGGAACTCCATTAGCACCACTTCCAACCACTAACATCTCAAGGCAATGTTGCAGAAAATAAACCATTCACAAATGGCAGAAGAGAAAATAAAGAAATAATAATAATAGTGAACACACACACACACACACACACACACACACACATATATATATAGGTCTTTGGATATTCGGGTTTTCTCCCGCGTAAAATTGGAAGTGTCTTGGCGACGTTTCGACGAATATCCAAAGACCTACATACAAACACCCGCGAAAACCTCAGAAAACACACACACACACACACACACACACACACACACACACACACACACACACACATATATATATATATATATATATATATATATATATATATATAGGCATATACATATAAACACACATATATCTCTGTGTTATAGTTATAGATATAAACCTTCGCCTCATTCAACATCAGTCAAAGCTTGCCATACAGAAAGAAAAGAAATAGCAAAGCTATTTCCTTTTTAAATAATTTGGCAAGCATATTTCCTTGCCAGAAAAAAGAATTCTCTGCTTTATCTTCTAGAAACAAAGCAAAGCAAGCATCTTAATTACTTGGAGAATAGCCCACCTGCTATAAACAAAATTTAGACACATTTTATGCACATGCACACAAGATAAAGAGAGAAATCTTGCTGATGTGGTGAAATCCACATTAAAGATAGCACCTTTTAAAACACATAAATAACATTTGACTGTGGTACAAAGTACTCCTTTAAGCACTTTTAAACAGGGTAGCCCAAGAACTGGGTTTGAAAAATAGTAGGACTTTGTTTCTTTATGTGTAATCATCCCCCTCATGCTTCCAAACAACTGATGAATAATTGGCTGGATCCTGTGAACATTTCTTGCTTCAGAACACAAAGCTAAAGGTTAGATCATTTTACAAAGGAACTAGAAGATCTTCTGTGTACACACACACACACATACGTGATGATGACCTTGGGCACAAAGAACACATCCTGTCATGGCAACGTGTATTAAAAGATACAATTCATGCAGTACAAGAATCCAAATTGAAAACAATTTCTTCGTGTGCATAAAATCCTAATTCAAAATTTGCTGTTTTTCTTTAAGGAAGAAAGAATGCTAGGATTGGGAAATAATGTTTCTTAAGTTGCAGGGTCCTTGGTGCTCCCTGAACTTGATGGTTTTCTTGCAGACATTGCATGACCCAACTAGGTAACATCATCAGTGCTAGGAGGGAGTGGGGTTGTGGAGTGGAGGAGGGGTGTGGGGTCCTTGGTGCTCTCTGAGCTTGGTGGTTTTCTTGCAGACATTTCATGACCCAACCAGGGAACATCATCAGTGCACTGATGATGTTACTTAGTTGGATCATGAAACTTCTTCAAGGAAACCACCAAACTCAGAGAGCACCAAGGATCCCACTATTCATGAGCTCCAAATATTATTTTGTATTGGCTGCTTAGCAGCCACAGAAGACAGTAACAGGGTTAGCTGAACAATCTTTGGGAAAAGATGATGGTGATGGCAGAAGAATTCTTTTCATAATTTCCCAGAAATTTATTTTGAAGATGCATTGCTGGTCATATTTATAAAAGATCAAGCACCAAAAGTATGCTTTTGAGCATACATACCCACCGTTGCACTGCTAAAGGATCGATTATCCTACGGACAATTAGGCCAAAGGTTAAAAAAAAAAGATGAAAAATGAATTTTCACAGATGCATTTTACTGAACAAGCAAATAACTGCAAAATCAACTGTTGCTAAAAAAAAAAAAAAAAAGCTGGATCTGGTGAAGGTCTCTGGTTGCAATTAGAAAGATATGATTAGGAACCCACAAGGTTTTTCAAAAAGCAATTCCAACCTGCGAGTTGGAAGATGCAATAGAAGAAGCATGAAGTCTTTAATTGTCCATGCTCCTGTCTGCCACTGTTGCCTGGGCTTTTCTCGTCCTCGTGTTTCTCCTAAGTTTGACACAGAGGTCTGTGCTCAGCCATGGTGAGCAAAAGAGCTTCCTATGGAGTGTGCAAAGACACGCGCAAATTGCCTCTTCCATCTGTCCTGTTGCCCTCAGGAGACTGGGATTGCTACATCTAAATCTCTACTGAACACTTGCGGGACAAAGTCTTAATAGCCAATAGCACAGCATCTCCAGATGTTTCACCCATGAATGGTGGCTAAGCTAGCAAACAGAAATCTAAATATCTCTCAAGGGCCCCTAGCATCTACATACCCACCCTTTTCCTTTCCTTTCTGCTTTAGGTGAACTTTCTAGAAGACCATCTATAAAAAAAAAAGGGGGGGGGAATCATCCTCAATCTTTATATAAAAATATTCTTAAAAAAGAAAAAAAAAGAAAATCTTCCCAGAAAAATCACTTCTCACTGCATAAAATAATGCAAATTAATCATTTTCTTCATCATTAAAAACTCGACTGTCCGGCAGCATTTGATTTTTCAGAGTCTCCATGCTCCTTGTCGAAGAACGGAAGAAAAAGAGACAGGATCTCCCAACTCCCATGATAGGTCCACAAGCAGCGATGGAGGCTACGTTTTTTAAGGTCCTTTGATGTTGCTGGGCCGAGCGGCTAGGCTTGCGTAATAAGCACATTGGGAGGGGTCACATTGTCCATTGGCCCCTGAAGGTCCTGGGGGGCCCATAAGGCCAGGAGACCCAGCTTCACCTTGAGGACCTTGTGCTCCAGGAAGTCCATCTTTACCATAGCCAGGTTCACCTGGAATACCTACAAAACAAAAGTGGGATGGGTAAGTGGGATTGCTATGGTGTGGACAAGCTTAGTAGACAAAACTACAGAGTTACAACCACTAAGGTGACCAACCCTTTTACAATGAGAAGGAGGACACAAGTAAATTGAAGAAGAAGAAAAAGTGAGTCTAATGCGTGCGTGTGTGCCGTGTCGTGTTTCGGTAAGAAGTAAACAAAGCCACTTGCGTGTGACGCACTCTTGCGCGCAGCGCACTGTCTCAAAACAATTCTCCTGTGCGGAGCGCATGCGTCTCATAATCGCGTCTCGCTGCACTGTACCGAGCCTTGACGAATCGTCATGTCAAATACAACTACGTCACATCACACGCAACGGATTGGCTCGGCATCGATCGAATACGGAGATTTATAGATTAGTCTTCAAATATCGAAAAGGAGGACATGTAGGAGGACACTTTTCGAGAGAGGACAGAACTTACAAAAGAAGGACTGTCCTCCCTAAAGGAGGACAATTGGTCTCCTTACAACCACATTTGAGCCCAACATTTCTCTTGTTGTTTTTTTGTATTATATTTTTTATTAATTTTTTTTACAAGCATAAGTCACTCAATAATTGGTAAACAGTGTGCTGTCTGGGTTAAATTTGTAAAAACACTCCTTAACCATTGATTTCTATCGTCTGTATTCCATATATTAATTTTGGTTGATTTCCTCTTTCCCTGAAACATCCTTTTTTGCAAACATTGAGATAATACCATTCTTATTGTTTTAATAAATGACAATTTAGTATATATGTTTTCCAATATTCCTAAAAAATAATCATCATATTAGTACATTTCTTTTCTTTTCAGTCATTTGGATTGCCTTATCTTCGATCCTGTTACAATCCTTATTTTAGTTTATTTCTCCCGCCAAATTCTAAAAATTCTTACTGGTAAAAGTTTTCTCAGCGATTAGTTACATTTACATTGACAGACTTGGTTCTATTTTTTCCATATAAGCCATCTCACATTTTTACGTTTCTTAAGTAATGGATAAAAGAGTAAAAAGAAAGGGGAAAAGAAGAAGAATGAAAAAGAAATAACAAATAAAAAAGAAGAGAAGAAAGCAGAAGTAACGGAACATAAGAAATAACATAGTCCGTAGAATATATATCCCTCCTAGATTAACCAACATTTCTGTTGTTAAGTGGGACATTTGTTAAGTGAGTTTTGCCCCATTTTACAAGCTTTCTTGCCACAGTTGTTAAGTGAATCACTGCAGTTGATAAGTTAGTAACACGGTTGTTAAGTGAATCTGGCTTCCCCCCCCTTGACTTTGCTGATCAAAAAGTTGTAAAAGGTGATCCCAATGACCCCGGGACAATGCAAAGGTCTTAAGTATGAACCAGTTGCCAAGCATCTGAATTTTGATCACGTGATCATGGGGAAGCTGCAAAGGTCACAACTGCAAAAAGTGGTCATGTTTTCAATGCGGTGGTAACTTTGAATGGTCACTGCTACTACCTGTAGTCCTCGACTTACAACCGTTCATTTAGTGACCATTCAAAGTTGCAACAGCACTGAAAAAAGTGACCTAAACCGGTCCTCACTCTTACATTCATTGCAGCACACCCCCCAAAATCATGTGATCAAAATTTGGGCGCTTGGACCCAGGCAATATATATAATGGTTTTGATTTATTAAAGGGGATATTGTGTTATTAAGCAGATGGTTAAATATGGTGGGAAATAGAAAATTTTTAGGAAATAGAACAAGATTATATTCACATAGATAAAATGTGTATTTTGGATATTATAGTTCAGTGACGGCGAAACTTTTAGAGACCGAGTGCCCAAACTGCAACCCAAAACCCACTTATTTATCGCCGGGTGCTAGGTGGGCGTGGCCCACTGAATGGGCGTGGCTGTGGCGGTCATGGCAGATTGGGTGGGTGTGGCCAAGGTGGGTGTGATCACCTCAATGTTGCTCGTGGGGAGGGATGCCTGTGGGGGCTGGGCAGGGTTGGAGGAGATCCAGGGGGTCTCTGGCAGGTGGGGCGATGGGCAAGAGGCTCATTCTGCAGTGTGAGGCAAGGCAAGGCGAGGCAGGGTGGGGGTGCCATCGTCACAGGGCAAGGTGAGGCAGGGGCCGGGGCAGCTGCTGCCTGACACCATCGGCCCCTGCACACAGAGGCCAGCGAGCACATGGGTGCCAGGATGCATCCAGCCATGTGGGACCTTGGCAAGTTAGTGGGCAGCTGGTTGAAGAGGGACGGTTGCCATCTCCAGAGCATGGCGAGTGTGCCCACAGAGAGGGCTCTGAGAGCCACCTCTGGCACGCGTGCCATAGGTTCGCCACTACTGTTATAGTTTGTTATGAAGTGAGATAAGGGAAATTTTGGTTACCCAAGATCTGAAAAATTATAAATATCAAAGATTAAATTGGAATATTGATAAGAAATTAAAAAAATTGAGTAAAAATCAATAACAGGATATGGATTGTTTATGAAGCTTGAATGTAATTAAGATATGTATAAGCTAAAAAATTATTGATAAACGTAATAATGATGTTCTTATTGAGTTGGTATAATTAGAAATGTACTAATCTGAATATGAGACAGTAAATGTTAAGGGGAAAAGAGAAGAATTATTTGATGTTGTAACCTGAGATTTGCACTAAGACTTTGTTACTGAACTATTGATTAACCCAGTCACCACATTGCTTTTTAAATGTTCAAATGTAAAATTGGAAAATTAATAAAATGTTATATTAAAAAAAATTGGGTGCTCGGCAACTGACATGTATTTAACAACAGTTCCAATGTGCTGAGGTTGTGTGAATGCTATTTGTCACCTTTCCCAGTCAGCTTCCAGATTCATCTCAGTTTTGTTCCATACAGTATTAACCTTGTGAACTCTAAAGCTTCCTCCTTCCGTTATGTATTCAAGATGGACGGTAGTTAATATTTATACATTACTTATATGTAAGGGTGTAGGTCTATACATATGTGGTATATAGTATGTTTAAATGGGTGTTATGTATGTGTACACTTGAGAGGAAGCAACTAAATTTCATTTTTAACGTGTGCCGTTGTGCCCACAGGGGGAAAAAAATGACAATAAAGGTGATCTAATCTAGTCTTCCATCAAGCAAGTCAATGAAGGAAGCCAGATTTGTTTAATGACCACATGATTCATTTAACAGCTGCAGTGATTTGCTTAACAACCGTGGCAAAAAAGGTTGTAAAACTGGGTGCAACTCTCTTAACAACCACCTTGCTTAACAACAAAAATTCTGGTCTCAATTTTGGACATAAGCCGAGGACTACCTATATGGCGAAATTGGCAATTCAGGACACAGTGGCTTCATGCATTGCTCTGTCAATTTGTCTACAAAGCCCTGCTTTAAGGAAAAAAAGCGCAATCAAAGGACCAACTCGACAGTGTCTCCATCAGCAGGGAGTTTTCTCCACCGAGAGAAAACTTGGCAGATTTTCACCCCATTTCTCAGGAACCCTTTTTAAAAACTATAACAGCTTCTCTTTGTTTTAGCCACCTGCTTGACTTCAAACAGCCGTGCCTTTTTTTAGCAGCACCACCTGCTAAAAATGTACGAAGCAAAAGGTAGAGAGAATTGTTTTCATGCTCCTAAAACCACTCTTTCTACTTCCGAAGGGAAAATGTGGGCCTCTCAAGAGTATTTGTCTTGTGGAAAAATGGAAGAGTCAAAAGGAAGCTTGGGGTGGACATTAGAGCAGGGAAGTCAACCTCGTGTCAACCGATGAACATCAAAGTACGCATGTAAGGTCACGTTCACAAATATTTATAGAGAAAAGGCTTAGGGGAGAGAGAGAGAGAGAGGGAGGGAGGGAGGGAGGGAGGGAGGGAGGGAGGGAGGGAGGGAGGGAGAGAGAGAGAGAGAGAGAGAGAGAGAGGAGAGAGGGAGAGAGGGAGGGAGGGAGGAAGAGAGAGAGGGAGAGGGGGAGAGAGGGGGAGAGAGGGAGAGAGGGAGAGAGATCATCTGTGAAAATAGGATTCCCTGATCATGAGGAATCTTTGAAGCTTATTGCGGAACACAGATAGTCCTTGACTTATGACTGGACTGAACCCAACATTTATGTTGCTAACCAAGAGAGCTAAGTGAGTTTCACTCCATTCTATGACCTTTCTTGCCGCAGTTGTAAAGTGAATCACTGTGGCTGTTAAGTTAGTCACATGGTCGTTAAGCGAATCTGGCTTCCAGAATCTTTGACAAGAATTTCTGACAAGCAAAGCAAAGCATTGCTTGTCAGAAGGCCAGAACAGGTGACCACATGACCCCAGGACACTTGGACAATTGCCAAGGGTCTAGATTTTGATCATGGGACCGTGGGGATGCTGCAACGATTGTGAGTGTGAAAAACAGTCATCAGTGGCTTTTTTCAGTGTGGTTGTAACTTTGAGCAGTCATTCAATGGACTGTTGTAAAATCGAGGACTTTACAATATGTATTTCAAATGATGTTGTCTAGAAATTCTGGAACTTCTGGCTTGTAAGCAAACAACCAAGCTCAGAGAACACCAAAGACTATAAAGTTCAACCTGTACTACAGATATTCTCTTCTGTTGGTAGTTCTGGCTTTGGTCAAGTTTGGGGAGAGTTGCCATCAACCACATAAATCCCTCTTTGCAGAGAATAAGCTCAACCACCCACCTGCTACTCCTGGGGGACCAGTTTCACCTCTCTGGCCAATGCCAGGATCTCCCTTCTCTCCTTTCTCTCCTCCATCACCTATTGGAGAAAATGAAATACATTTTAATTACAGCATCAGACTTTCACTGTTCTGCGGAGTGCAGATATAAATCATTCTTGACCACTACCAAGTCACTTCTTATCAATACCGATAATCATTCCATTTTAATTTGCATGTGATCTGTCCTTTTCTGTTGCTAGGCTCAAATGTTAAAAGCCCCAGATCTGTTCTCCTTTCCATTTTTATCCAGAATCAGGCATTGCTGAGTTTTAATAGACTTGCAGAAAAGAAGGTTTACTGAATGAACACAAATGGAGAAATCCAGCCTCTTGCATTTTCCGGGATGACCCTCATGCAGGGTTACTGAATGTGCAAAATGTGGTGATTTCAAATAATAGAGCACGTTTCACTCATAAATGTGAAATCTTGGTTATTGTTCAGAATGTTTGAAAAATTAGCATGTAGAATATTTGAAAATTTCAGAATGTTTGAAAGATTAGGGGACTGGAGGCTAAACCACGTGAAGAATAATTGCCAGAACTGTCTAGTTTAATGAAGAGAAGGATGAGGGGGGACATGATAGCAGTGTTCCAATATCTCAGGGGCTGCCCCAAAGAAGAGGGAGTCAAGCTATTCTCCAAGAGCACCTGAAGAAGGCAGGACAAGAAGCAACGGATGGAAACTGACCAAGGAGAGAAGCAACCTAGAACTAAGGAAAATCTCCTGACAGTTAGAACAATTAACCAGTGGAACAATTAACCAGTTGCTCCAACACTAGAGGCTTTTTAAGAACACATTGGACAACCATTTATCTGAAATGGTGTAGGGTCTCCTGCTTGAGCAGGGGGTTAGACTAGAAGACTACCAGGTCCCTTCCAACTTTGTTATTCTGCTAAATGTAGTCTCATTCTATATCAATGATGGCGAACCTTTTAGAGACCGAGTGCCCAAACTGCAACCCAAAACCCACTTATGCATCGTTGGGTGCCGGGTGGGTGTGGCCCATTGGGTGGGCATGGCTGCGGTGGTAACGGCAGACTGGGTGGGACTAAAAAGTTCAATCAATCAATTCCAACTTTGCAAGATCTTTTTTTCCCCACGAGAAGTTGAAATTGACTGATTGATTGGACCTTTTTTTTTTTTTTTTTTGCACATGGCGGCGGCCTAAAGCGAAAAGGTTTTATAAAACCCAGCTAAAGGCCTAGGACTGGGGCGACGGCGCACGTGCCCACAGAGAGGGCTCTGAGTGCCGCCTCTGGCACCCGTGCCATAGGTTCGCCACCACTGTTCTATATGTTTAAGGTATTTCAAGTCCCATTTGGGTGACATTGAACAGTAAAACTATCTGGAAGCTGTACACTCCCTGAGGGAAGGTAGCATTTTGCTGCTATTCATAAAAACGGCCTACATTTTTTCAAGATCATGCAGATTTGTGAGGATGGAGGGGAAGGCAGTTGCTTTAAGAACCAAAATAACTTGAATGGGTGAATTCTTTAAAGCAGTATTTTTTTAAGTCATTGCAGAAACAAAGCTGGGCTATCAATATTAGGGAGGTGTTATTCACTTGTTACACTTGTGGGAAGTCCAAAACAGTATGAATAGACTGAATGAGCACTTTCAAAAAATACTTCTGAATTTGTCTGAGATTTTTCGTTAAATGTGAAAATTGATTATAATAGATGGATGGACATATAGACTGGTGTTTCTGTATTTAAAAGTAGAAATTTAAACACATTTGGCTCCGTCTTCTGCTATTCTACATTCTTTATCCACCCAGGGTGTTTGGGGAAAGAAAAATCTGACTTTGGTTTCAGCTGTACTATAAAAACCACATGGAGAACGGGGTGGAAATAAGTCAATAAATTAAAAGCTATCAAGCTGATATTTCCTTCTACCTCCTACGATAATAATAATAATAATAATAATAATAATAATAATAATAATAATAATAATAATAATAATAATAATAATAATAATAATAATAATAAAGTTGGAAGGGATCTTGGAGGTCATCTAGTCCAACCCCCTACTCGAGCAGGAAACCCTACACCATTTCAGACAGATGGCTGTCCAGTCTCTTCTTAAAGACTTCCAGTGTTGGAGCATTCACCGCTTCTGGAGGCAGGTTGTTCCATTGGTTAATTGTTCTAACTGTCAGGAAGTTTCTCCTTAGTTCTAGGTTGCTTCTCTCCTTGATTAGTTTCCACCCGTTGCTTTTTGTCCTGCCTTCAGGCACCTTGGAGAATAGCTTGACTCCCTCTTCTTTGGGACAGCCCCTGAGATACTGGAACACTGCTATCATGTCATCCCTCGTCCTTCTCTTCATTAAACTAGACATACCCAATTCCAGCAACCGTTCCTTATATGTTTTAGCCTCCAGTCCACATTCAGAAAAGTTTCGCCATAATCATTTCCATTTATTTGAGAACACCACATTTCACATTGCAGAAACTGTCCATGGTCCTTAAAAGATCTAAATCAGAAGGAAAATTTGGACCTAAAGCTGCTTTCCAGCTATGGAGCTACTCACCTTTTGGTCCCATAGGTCCCGACGGACCTTCTGAACCTGGTTGTCCAGGTCTGCCAGGTTGTCCTGGAGGGCCGACTCTACCAGGAGGACCTTCTGTTCCAGGTGATCCAGGAGGTCCTGGTCTACCTTGAGGTGCTTTGATCTGGGAAGGCTGCAACTGACTTATGAGGTAGGGCAGTCTGGCTACAGGGAAAAAGAAAAACATAGACACACAGAGAAGAGTGAGAGAAAATATTCTTAATGAAGAGATATCTGATGCAGAAAAAAAGGCATGCTACAGCAGGTCACTGGCCAAATATCTTTCTGCTACAAATCATAAAATTGTAGTGTGGGAAGTCAGCCCCCCCAGAGAAGGAAATATTAAAAGGGCAGAATATATTTCCCAAAAGGATTTTAAAAGCAGAAAAAAACCCTGCCCCCAAGTCTCTCTGTCCCAAGCAAAAACCAGTTCTATACAAATGCAGATGTAAAGGTTGCAACTGGAACATTAAGAATACAAAGACCCAAAATCTGCATACCTCACCCAAACTCTAAGAGTCATTAGCTCCAGCCCCAGAGAAGCAGGACATGACCTTTGGGACATAATAGGATTATCCCACAGATGCCAAAGGGCAAAGCCAGACTCAGCTCAGAATACATGACACAGGAAATAGCCTCAGACAGGAACAGGAAGCAGCTCCAAACAAAAGGCTCCAGAGGGTATAAAAACCCACTCCCTACATGTGTTCACTCTCTTTTCTGCCAGCCATCTTCCTGTCTGGTTCTCCTTTTCAATAAACTACAACCTTCTTTCTAAAGAAGTCACCATGTTGTTTATCCCCGGCTTGGACAGAACCACGATGTAGACTTTTCCTTCAAAAGTAGGTTTGGTCTTTGGGAGAAAGGGGCAGTTTTTATTCCCCATTTTTTTTAAACAACACAAGTTGCAAAGTTGTGTGCAGAAGGAGCAGATGTGAAAAAGTTTTGCTTACAAGCTCACAGGGATATTCTTAGGGGTAGTTGTGACACCCTCAGGAGCAGCCGTCAGAGCAAGTAACAGCTGGGCTCAAAGCACACAGCCTGCCTTTTTAAATGTTCAAAAGAGAACAACAAACAAGAAGAAAAAAGCCCTCGCAACTATAAAGTAATAAATAACAATGCACCTTTATATTATGTGCCTCTTCTACCAAGCGAAGACATTTTTTATTTTCCCTGGGAAATTATTTTGAAAAATGCTTTAGTTTGCAGAATATTTTTAGCTGCTGCCACATAGTGTTGTTATTTTTTTCCCTTTCTTTCATGCATATTTTACTATTTTATGATATTTATTATTTACCACTCTATAATCTAGTGAAGAAAGGGCAGCATGCAAAGCTTCTCCTTAACACTGAATTCGGAAACTATAAGAAAAGCAATGGTTGTATGCACGTTGGAAACAGCCACCCCCCAGAAACCCAACTGAATGAAAATGTTGTAGAGAACAATTAGATTTTTTTTAAAAAATGATGAGAACAAAATTAAAAGATAGTGATAGTGTCTACTATCACAGATCCACCGGAGAAGAATTTGCTTTTCAAAAGCAAAGTAACCACTTTATCAATCAGAATAGAGCTGGAAGGGACCTTGGAGGTCTTCTAGTCTAACCCCCTGCTGAGGCAGGAGACCCAATACCATTTCAGACAAGTGGATGTCTAGTCTGTTCTTCAAAGCGTCCGATGGTGAAGAACCCACAACCTCTGAGGGCAAGCAGTTCCACTGATCAATTGCTCTAAATTTCTGCTTAATTTCCAGGTTGCTTCTCTCCTTGATTAGTTTCCATCCATTGTTTCTTGTCCTGCTTTCATGTGCTTTGGAGAATATTTTGACCACTCCCTTCTTTGTGGCAGACCCTCAAATACTGGAATACTGCTATCATGTCACTCCTAGTCAGTGTTGTGAGTCCGTGCCAGCGAGTGGACCCGGCAGCTAAGTCCGGGGAATCAGAGGAGGAGGAGGGGCCTGGAGAGCCATCAGAGGAGGAGGAAGGCTCTGATGAACTCTAGGATTTATAATCTGATGAAGAGCCTGGTCCTTCCAATCGTGCTCAGGCTGAGACTCAGTTGTGCGGGGAAGCTGAGTCAAACTCTGAGGACTCACAGCTGGAAGACATTATAGACGCTCGCAAATGCAGACAGGCAACAAGAGCAGGACAGAAGGAGGCAATGGGGTGACTCCAAGGGAGGAGGAGAAGGCATTGAGAAGACATGCCTTGGGGCTGCATAATAAAAAGGGAAGGTGTGGGCGGTGCTGGTTGCTAAAGGCAACCACTTGCAAAGGACTCAAGTTTCATGGAATCAGATTCTGTTTGCCTTGCCTGTGAACAATTCTCCATTTGAATTGTGTTCTGTTTGCCTGGGGACAATTCTTCATTTGAATCGTGTTCTGTTTGCCTTTGAATAATTCTCCGTTTGCATCGTGTTTTGTTTGCCTTTGCTTTTGGGACATTTTGCAGGTCTGTGCCTAATTAATAAAATAGGTTTGTTTTTCCTGCATTTCAAGCCTACTTGTTAAAAGAGGGGTTTGTCCTTGTGAATTAACAAGGACTCATGTAGGCTGGGACAGAACAGTCCTTTTCTCTAGACTAGCCAAACCCAATTCCTGCAACCAAATCAAAGAGGCATGAAAGAATAGTAATGAGAAATCTTAATTACATTGATATTTGTTTGGAAACTGCTAGACAAAGTCCTTCCAGCTATTCTTGCCTTACCCTATCTTGATTACAACTTTTCCTTTCAGAGGAAGGGGAGAAGCTAAGTGTCCAATGCCTTTGACTTCATTGGGAAGAAAATGAAAACCGAAGAAACACTGGGAGAGAATGACTAAGCAATTCAACATTTTGAGCTAAAACACTTACATAAAACATATGAAGAATGAATGCAGGAATTTTCCATGTCTAGTCTAAGAAAAGAAGAATGAAGGGTGATAGGATAGTAGTGTTTCAATATTTGCAGGACTGCCACAAAGAAGAGGGGGTCAACGTATTTTCCAAAGCACCAGAAAACAAGACAAGAAGCAATGGATGGAAACTAATAGAGAGAAGCAACATAAAACTAAGAAGATATTTCCTAACAGTGAGAACAGCTTGCATTCAGAAGTTGTGGATGTTCCATCACTGGAGACTTGTAAGAAGAGACTGGACAGATATAGGGTCTCCTGCTTGAGCAGGGGGTTGGACTAAGAAACCTCCAATGTCCCTTCCAACTCTTGTTATTCATAGCTTGGACTTCAGAAAGGGAGATTTTAATTAACCCAGAACAATAATCTATAGAATATGGGGGGGGGGGGGAAGGGGTTGGTTTGCATTATAGATTTATATGTAAGATTTTTTTTTTTCTTTATAAGGAGGTGCCCGGTGAAACCCCAAATGCACAGGACGGGATGGTTGATTGTGGAAGGGAAGTAGGAAAGAGGGAGGAAGGAGGAGTGCTGGTAGGTTGGGAGGAGGAAGGTGTGGTAAGTGGAAGATGGTGGTGCAGGAGGGGGACACCGGACACGTCCGTGAATGTACTGTTTAGCTTTATTTGTATGTTCTGTTTTATACGTACTGTTTAGCTTTATTTTCTTTGTTTGGTTGTTTGTTTCTTTGTTTTTCATTGAAAAATTAATAAAAAATTATTAATAATAATAATAATAATAATAATAATAATAATAATAATAATAATAATAATAATAATAATAATAATAATAATAATATATAGAATCCATGGCAGGTGAAGCTAGTGGAAAAAGGAGAAAAAGATAGATGGGTGTGTGTGTTTAAAAATAGAATTAGAAAGTTCCCCCAAAATTAAAAACAATGTAGCTGCAAAAAAAAAAAAGCTTAAGAAATTTCAAGGACAAATATAGGAGGTGAAATGTCAAAAAGAAAAGGTATTGACAGGCAAGAATTTTAACATTCCAGAGAAGCTCAAATGCTAAAGGGGCTTATTATCTTATCTATTATCTACATATTTGCTAGAAGTTGAAAGCAACATGATGACACACATCAAAAGGATTTTGTTTATTTATTTATCAAATGTATGTACTACTTATCTCACTATTGCAGTGACATTAGGTGCTTTACAAATAAAAAAATATATAAAATCCATATAAAAAGAGAGAAAGTTAGAGACAAAATTAAAAAGCATAGCACTGTTTAGTTTTGTACAGTATAAAAGAAAAGCAGAAAACTCCTTCCTTCCTTCCTTCCTTCCTTCCTTCCTTCCTTCCTTCCTTCCTTCCTTCNGTTGTTCTTTTGTGATTACTACATAAATTTCAACCATATTTACTATTACTTTCAGCTGCCACCTCCTTCTCCTGTCAAGTTTATGTATGCAACAACAATCTGTCTATTTATTTATCTGACTTCTGTTACCTACCATCTATTTTTCCTTCCTTCCTTCCTTCCTTCCTTCCTTCCTTCCTTCCTTCCTTCCTTCCTTCCTCTTCTGATCCTCTTTAACATGTTGGAATCACTCACCCACTTTCGGACTTCATAATTCGAGTCCTTACCATCAAGTTGTTTTCCTAACTCTTCTTGGATAAGTCTTCGCAATGTTTCTGTTGATGGAGGATCTCCCTAGAAGACAAAAAAGATGCCTTAAGATACCAGAGCTTAAAATACTGATGCTTATGAATGAGTTTAATTGCTTTTTTTAAGCAGCTAAAAAAGTTTAAAATGTGTAATACAGTAGCATTTTAAAAAAAAAAGACTTTAGGAGGCACATTCTAGCACAGGGGTGTCAAACTCAATTTCATTGAGGGCCGCATCAGCATTGCGGTTGCCCTCAGGGGGCCGGGTGTGTGTGACCAGGGTGGGTGCGGCCTACTGGGTGGGCGTGGATGGAGTGGGTGTGGCCTACTGGGTGGGCATGGCCAGCTCTACATCATTCGCGTCAAGGGTGCCTGTGGGGGCCTGGGCAGGAGTGGGACAGATCTGAGGGTCTCTGGCAGAAGGGGGTAGGACCGGGGCAAGTGCCAAGGCATGGTCCACTGGAGGAGCCTCACTGTTCCTCTCAGGCCATGCGGGGGGGGGGCTTATGGAGCTAAGACTGAATGCATTTCAGCATAGATGGCCACCACAAAATTGTACATTGGCTCCCAGGTGGCCTGGGCCAGGGCCAAGGCAGAGGGGGCTGTTCCCTCACTGTTTCCAGGATGGCTTCGCGGGCTACATGAAACCACTTCGCGGGCCGCATCCGGCCCCCGGGCCTTGTGTTTGACATGTCTGTTCTAGCATTTCAAAGACCTCATAGGATCTTTGGTAACAAACCTGTGAAAGAATAGGAATAACTACTGTGTAATAATTCTAAATGGTTCCAACTTTAATACAGGGAAGGGTTAGGCATGCTGTGTTTACAAGAAGAAGATGGAACCGTTCATGAAGGAAGCATGAGCTTATTCCTCAATATCCCTCTATCTTAATAGCATGTAAATGCTATAATATATCCATCTGGTGATGCCAAGAGTGGTTTTGAAGGCATTTTATGGTTCCGAAGAAAACCTAAAACCCCAAACTCATTTCTTCCAGAAGCTATTCTTCAAATTGGTCCTTTGCAGGAATTCCAAATACTCCAGTCTTAGCAAATTCTCCCTGGGGCCCTCAGCAATATGTGAAAATAACTAGGCTGCCAATCTATATATAAATAAAAATGTAAATGTTCATTTGTTCAAAATCTTAAATATCCGAAAGTTCTTCACTGATTGCTTTGAAATTTTGACACAACGTTGCATTCGAATACGCATTTGTTTTTATATACCTATATTATATAGACGTCACACCTGTGACAGGTAAAAACATGTTTTTTTAAAAAAACAGCGCCATCTGTTGGACATAAAAGCAACACACGCTTTCACCAGACTGAGCCACAGCAACGCGTGGCCAGGGACAGCTAGTAAGTGATAACAGTGAATAGTTCACATTGAAATGGACATGAACTATTGGGTAATGATCCAACAATATTTTTTTTTAAATATTCTGCTGCATTTCATAGTGGATGAGTTAAAAATAATAAAACACAGCAGGTAAGACGCATACAGAGGCCTCTGCAGCAAGACATGATTTCGACGAAGATAAAATCAGGCCAGCGTTTACATCATAACCTCACCACATGCTCTGTCATTTGGTTGCCTGCTCAGTGGCAGACATTTTGGGGTAGCCAACCCAAAGTACGTTTCCCCCTAAACTCACTCTCGGCCCAGGAAAACCAGGTTGTCCTGGAGAGCCAGGAGGACCAACTTGTCCTGACTCTCCTGATGGTCCCGGGGGACCCATTAATCCTGTGTGTCCTTTGCGGCCAGGAACTCCTGGATCACCTGGTGGTCCCTTTATTCCTGCAGGGCCTTTTTCACCTTTGCCTCCAGGATCTCCCTGATGGAGAGAAAAAAGAGATAGATTGGATTGAAATAAACAAAAAAAAATATTTATTTGATTGATTGATTGATTGAGACCCATTTCACTTCAAGTCGCTCTTCCTCCTCCTCCTCCTCCTCCTCTTCCTCTTCCTCCTCCCTCCTAGCATTTTCCTGCAAGTGCAGGGTCCAATTGGGTAGGTGTGGCCCATTGGGTGGGCGTGGCTGTGGTGGTAACAGCAGACTGGGTGGGACTAAAAAGTTCAATCAATCAATTCCAACTTTGCGAGATCTTTTTTTTTTCCCGCGAGAAGTTGAAATTGATTGATTGATTGAACCTTTTTTTTTTTTTGCACACGGTGGCAGAGGCCTAAAATGAAAAGGTATTATAAAACCCAGCTGAAGGCTTAGGACTGGGGCGACGGAAAGCTGCCCACAGAGAAGGCTCTGCATGCCATCTGTGGCACCCGTGCCATAGGTTCGCCACCACGGCCTTATACCATTGTAGAAAAGTGGTTGTCCCATCTTTTCTTCAAAACCTCCAGTGACAGTCAGGGGCCTGAGAATCCTTCAAATTATGAAATTATAGAACAGAATAGAGCTGGAAGGGACCTTGGAGGTCTTCTAGTCCAGCCCCCTGCTCAAGCAGGAGGACCTATACCATTTCAGACAAGTGACTGCCTAGTCTCTTCTTATAGCTGGGGTGATGAACAATCTGAATGACGTTGGTTCAGAAAAAGCAAGAATTTGTTTACCTATGAACAAATACAATATGATTGCATGCCATCTGCTATTGAAGTGTCACAGAGAGCTGACTCTGACGTTTGAGTTTGGGTTTAAAATGTTGGGATATGAATAAAGCTCTCATACTTACCCTATCCCCTTTTTGTCCATGTTCTCCTGGATTCCCTGGGGTGCCCTGAAAAGACAGGAGGGTTCTAAAGACCAGCGATAAAGCTAACATTTTGTCTGTATGTGTGTCATCTCTCTTTCACCGATACATACTAATGTGAAAGGGAACATGAATTATATTGCATGAATTATAAAAGTGTTTATAGTAGCAAGCAGAAAACTAAAAAAAACACAACCAAACAGCTTCAGAGGTGTTTGCAGTTTGCAATCACTCTCAGTAGCACTAATAAATCAACTTTTTTTGTGTGTGAGGAAGGTAACAAAATACACACCTCTTTCCCTGGGACCCCCTTTTCACCTGCTTCTCCCTATGGAAAAGAAAGATAAAGCAGATTATGCAGCATGGCAAATAATCTACAACAGTGTTTCTCAGACTTTGTAGCTTTAATGTATCGGCTTCAACTCCCAGAATACAAACATTTTATAGCTGCCAAGTTTGAGAAAAAAAACTGATCTTCAGTTTGGTTTATAAGGGGGTCAGTTTTTCTCTTTTTTAATTTTTTTGGAATTTTATTTTCTTTATTTGCTTTGTTCATCTATTTTTTTTCTTTATTGACATGTAGGTGTATACATACACACACACATAGGCATACACAAAAGATGTACACACACACACACACACACGTGTGTGTGTGTGTGTCTGTGTCTGTGTGTGTCTGTGTGTGTATACAGCTGACAAAGTGAGAAAGAGCCTGTGGCGTAGGGGTCAACACAGCTGCCTAATGTGCAAGCAGCCCAGGTTCGAATCTCAGAAGGGTATGGCTGGCTGATGAGAGCTAATCAGCTCGAAATAGCTATCCCAGTCCCCCTTTAACTCTTTGTTAGCAATCCAAAAATTTAGGAAACACAAATGATGTCACAGTAGCGATTGCTGCCTGTGGATGTCTCTAGATTGAGCCGATAAAAGGCAAAAGATTTCTTCCTCCCATATTTGGGCCTACAGGGTGTATCAAAAAAACAACAACACTCAAGTTTGTGTGTGTGTGTGTGCTAAAAAATTTTTGATTGCTAACAAAGAGTTAAAGGGGGACTGGGATAAGATTTCTTCCTCCCATATTTGAGCCAACAGGGTACATCAAAAAACACTCAAGACATATGTATGTATGTATGTATGTATGTATGTATGTATGTATGTATGTATGTTATGTATGTATACTAAGAAATAATACTGTACAATGGAGATGTTAACTTTAAGCCATTCATTCATTCATTCATTCATTCATTTATTCATTCATTCATTTATATTTCACATTTCTTAACCACCCATTTCTCTTGGAGATTGAGTTTCCTTTATTACATAGCAAGTAAATTGCAAGTCACAAATGCATTCTTTTTTTTAAAAAACCCTTTCCAACAGAAAGGGAAAGCCAACCTTATCTTGGGTTGGAAGTTGAGTAGGGCTAGAACTGTTTAGGAGACCATCAAGGTATCCCAAGGTAGATGAGAAGTCAAAGGAATATCCTGAAAGATGGCAATGGTTAACCCCTTCATCGCTATTGCAAAGGAAGCTACAAAAAATATTCTTGCAGTCATCTGGAGTTAAAACTAACTCGTATTCATCTTTACCTTACCTTAATGAGCACTTCCTAATTACTCTACATTCTCATTTTAACACCAGCATGGCCATCATCAATTTGCTACTTACAGGAAGTCCTCGTGGCCCAATGAAACCAGGAACGCCTGGGCTACCGGTTTCACCTTTGCTTCCCTTGGAGCCCTTGGGGTGAAAAAGAGAACACACAAAGGCTAAAGAATACTCTGATCACTATCATTCTGAAAGAATAGGATGGTTAAACTCAAGAAGCACTTTCTGCCCTAATTCCACAAATCATAATAAACAAAATGACTTGCCAGAAGCAATCCAAGTGGTAATATTTGCACATTATCCTAATGACCATACAACACCCTTATTATTTATTTATTAAACTTGTATGCCTTATTACTTGAATAAGAGATGCTGATAACGTCTCCCAAGCAAAACTTTGGAAAAGAATATTAATTTTAGATACTTCTTTAAGACACCCGTGCAAAAATGTGGCGTCTCTTGGATCTGGTGACCACTTGATGTGGACAAATCAATACATCAGACACTCTTTTCCTTTAGGGAGAACTTTAATTTAGGGGAAGGATGGATATTCTGCAAGCTTCAGACTTCCTGTGGTTTCCTTATCCACAAACTGCTCTCAAAAGTAGTGATCAAAAGTAATGGTTTTATTTTGAGATTATATTACAAATGCATATGTCAGCTACTCCCAAATAACTCTGCCAGGCGTGCTATGATTTTGATATTAAAACCATCTAGACCACAGTATTTTTTTAAAAAATCTCAAATTGACTTTAAAAAATACATTTTGAGCCCTGTCCTGGGCTGAAAGGGGCAGGGGAGCAGGTCAGACTGAGCTCCAATAGCAGTTCCTTCATAGCATATGAAAAATCCACCAATTTTGCAACAATAATTGAGTGTCTATATGAGGACAGATAATTCTTGCAAATAGTTTGGGTCAAATGTATGTTAGCCTTAGCATATCAAAATGAGCACTCTGATTTGGCCTTGAAAAGCAACCAGCAACTGCTATACTTATTTTCACACATCAGTAAGATTAGAGACATCTTAAGAATGCTCTTTCTTGGAGTTTTGACAAGGGCAATTTGATTCCAATAAAAATCTGTACAATTTTATCACAGTGTCATGACCTATAACTTCTCATCAATCCCCAAAGCATTCTTTCTCATTTCCTGCCATGGATAAATTATTCTGGTCTATTTCCTATCTACTTAATACTTTATTCCAGTCCTCTACTCATATCACATGAACGCTAGGATGGCTGTCAAGCTTCTGTTTGAACTGCTCTTATTTTTAAATCCATTATTATATATATATTGCTTTCCAAAATAAGAGAATAGAAGAGGGCTATCTTCTGTGTCATCTAAACAACACTAACTTCAAGAGGCTTTCTCAATGCACAGCTAAAATCAAGGCCTGTCAATCTTAATAGCTATTCCTACAATCTTGTTGTATACAAGCATCTGCCAGGATGGGACAACCGATGTCATGTATTTTATCTTGCACATGACACAAATAATGCATGGTTAACTATGCAGGTTACAAAATGACATCATGATGCATATGGCCTCACTGTAACTGCTCTGCCAAAGGTACTTTTTCAAAAGACAACTGGGTTTTCTTGTTTTTTGTTTGAAGACTTTTTGCTTCTCATCCAAGAAGCTTCTTTAGTTCAGACTGTTTAGTTCTGACAGTTCTGACTGAAGCTTCTTGGATGAGAAGCAAAATATCTTCAAGGAAAAAAAAGAAAGAAAATCCAATTGCCTTTTGAAAAAGCATCTTTGGAACAACCATGACCTGGATGACTGAGAATCTCCATAGCTGCTGTGGTTGCCTATGCTGTTGTGAGTTTATACTTGTGATGGAGATGGTAAATACAGTACTTACTGGGTTACCTGCAGGACCAGATTCCCCAGTAGCACCTGGAGGTCCAGTTTTGCCCTAAATAAATGAAGACAACAATCAATCTCAAAGTATATGAAGAACCTCAGTGAATGACACCAAAGTGCTATGACCATTCAAATTCATCATATTTTTGATAATTTTCAATATCTACAAAAGGAAAGGAAAGGAGAGGAGAGGAGAGGAGAGGAGAGGAAGGGGGGAAGAGGAAGAGGAAGAGGAAGAGGAAGAGGAAGAGGAAGAGGAAGGAAAGGATGGCTCTGCCCCATGTAATCATCATTAATTAACCCCAACCAAAGCAAGTTTTTCACTTCACATCTTCACCATGATACAGCATAGGATCTCTATACATAAATTATCCTGAAGACTTGGAGACTGTAAGGTGTCTCCTAGAATCAGAAGGAGATGTTCATCTCAGAACAACTCGTTCACTAGGCAAATTAACTCACTGCTATTCCTCGAAGTCCTCGGGGTCCTTCTGGTCCCACAGGCCCTGGATCTCCCTGGCAAAAAAATCATACATTATAGCCTCATTGAAGGTTGAAGAAGTGAGAATCCAAAGATATCGCAGAACTCAAAAAAACTCAAAAACGATTCCTGATTATCAGACAACCAGTGCTTATGATGACCACAGATCCAACCTGTTATGGAGGCAGACATTTTTAGAACATAGAATCATAGGGTTAGAAAGGACCACAGAGGTCTTCTAAGACTAGGTCAGGGATAGGCAACCTTGGCTCTTTCATGACTCGTGGACATCAACTCCCAGAATTTCTGAGCCAGCCATGCTGAGGGGAAAGGGAGAGGTTTCCAAGCTGAGTCATGCTGGCTCAGGAATTCTGGGAGTTGAAGTCCACGAGTCATAAAAGAGCCAAGGTTGCCTACCCCTGGACATAAGTCAACCAATCCCCTGCTATTTTTGAAAACCTCCAGCAGTGGTGCTCCCACAGCTCTGGGAGGCAAAGTATTCCATTGTTCAATTGTTCTCACTGTCAGAAAATTTCTCCTTACTTCTAGGTTGGATGTCTCTTTAACAAGTTTCCAGCCATTACCTCTTCTCCTGCCTCTGGTGCTTTGAAGAATAAGTCAAACCCCTCTTCTCTATGACAGCCCAAGTACTGGAAGGCAGTTATCATGTCCTCCCACATTCTTGTCTTTGATATTGCTTTACTTCTTTAGTCTTTACCTTTGGAGGCTATTTCAGAAACAACTCACATCTTAGCATTGCTTGTGATTATACTGTAATGTTAAAACAGGAGGATGAGCTATGGAGTTCATGAGAGTCAGGGTACAAATTTAATAAAATAAATCAGGCTTAGAGTACAGAATGACTGTCAGATGGTGGGCATTTCGAGGAGAATTTTAGAAATATTGTTATTATTACTACAGTAGTTTTAATCACTTTTGACGTTGACACAGAGCTTTCATTGTACTTAACACTTACATCTTTTCCTGATTGCCCCTCCCGGCCCGGAGTTCCAGGTTGACCCTGTTCTCCCTGTAATAAAGAAAAAGGATGAAGGAAAGAAAAAAATAAAATTTAGAATTATCCCCTTTAAAAAGTCTTATATGCCTTGTATGGTATGGAATCCTAAGGCATCTTATCCAGGTGAACAGACCACTTTATTTGCTGAATATAGCTTAAGATTGCTTCTATGCCATTTTTTTTTCTTTTATGATCTCATTTCTGATTTTATCTCTTCTGGTCACTCCAGCATCTTTCCTCAAACATTTCATTTCTGTGGTGATTAACTTTTTTAATGTTTTATTGTTAGGGTCCATATTTGGCACTGGTAACATAGGGTGGGGATGGATATGCTTTGTATGAGGTGCTTCTTGATTGATAGATAGATAGATAGATAGATAGATAGATAGGTAGGTAGGTAGGTAGGTAGATAGATAGATAGATAGATAGATAGATAGATAGATGATAGATAGATAGATAGATAGATGATAGATAGATAGATAGATAGATAGATAGATAGATAGATAGATAGATAGATAGATAGATAGATAGATAGATGATAGACAGACAGACAGACAGACAGACAGACAGACAGACAGACAGACAGACAGACAGATAGATAGATAGATAGATAACCTTTATTGTCATTTTTACTGTGAGCACAATGGCACACATTAAAAATGAAATTTGCACCCTTTGTGCCAGCAACATTGCAGATCAACTTTCAACAAGGAACAATTAACCCCATGGTTATTTACATGGTTTCAAACTCTACATTTTCTTCTTCAGAAATCCAGTGGATTCCATTTTCTCCATCCCCAAAGATATAAGGGGCAACAGTGACCTCCCCCAAAAAACATTCTTGCACCCAATTATACTCATGCATATCTATATTACTTACTCTCATGCCAGGACTTCCTGCATCTCCTCTTGGACCCTTAAAACCCTGAAACAAAGAAATGGAATGGAAATCTGTAAATGTTCTCCCTCCAAAACTGAGCCCCTGAAAATGGTTCCTTAACCTCCTCCCAGCCTTTGACTCAATCTCCATTCTCATACTCCTTTTCTCTTTATACCTCTCTATCTCATTTCCTTGAGATGGTGTCTAGTTTGCTTCTAAGTTTAAAGAGAGAGCCTGACACACGTGGAATACAACAGACACACACAGAGAGACAGCAGTGAGTTCCGTGGTTAGACAATATTTGGGAAGTATTATTGGGCAATAATGGGTCCAATTCAAGGTGTTTCTGGTTCTCACCTTCAAAGCTCTACATGGCTTGGGGACAGGTTAGTTGAAGGACTGTCTTTTTCCAGTCACCTCTACCTAACCCAACCCAAGAGAGGAAGTAGGGAATGTTACGGGTCTCCTCTCTTAAAGAGGCCCTTCTAGTGCGGGGGTAGGCAACCTTGGATCTTTTATGACTCGTGGACTTCAACTCCCAGAATTCCTGAGCCAGCCATGCTGAGGGAAAAGGGAGAGGTTTCCAAGCTGAGTCATGCTGGCTCAGGAATTCTGGGAGTTGAAGTCCACGAGTCATAAAAGAGCCAAGGTTGCCTACCCCTGTTCTAGTGGGACCAAGAAGAAGGACCTTCTCTGTGGTGACTTCCTCCCTGTAGAACATCATGCCCACAGAGATAAGATTGCCCCGTACTTTAACATGCTTTCTCAAGGCCCTAAAGATGTGGTTTTGCCAATGGACCTGGGGACCTCTGAATGGGATGGAGCCCATCAAGTGCCTCATTTGATTGTTGTTGCCAGGCGGCGGGGGGCGGGAGGTTAGTGCTTTTCTATTCTTTTTTGTATTGGGCTTTTATCTTTGTAACCTGCCCAGAGTCACTGAGAGTGAACCTACATGTCAGGCACTCCACTGAGAGTGATCTCCCTGAAAAAAAAGTCAACACTTTTCCCTCGATGCTTCTTCCTCCCCCAAGGGCTGGAAAACTTTGAATAGCATTCACACATTACATGGCATTTGTTCAAAATGCCCTGTTTAAATGGGGCAGAGTATCTTCCCCTGAATGTGGTTCCTCACCAGACACTGGATCATAGAGTGACCAGCTTCCATTTGAGAGCTTATACAGGAGGAAAAGCAGATTTTGTCCCACTAACAAATGGGACTTAATTAGACAAATGGCTTAATTAGACAAATGGCCTAGATCAGTGATGGCAAACATTTTAGACACCGAGTGCTCAAAAACCGCCCTGCCCCCGCTTGCCCTTCCCAAACCTTGCCCACCCGCAGGGCCACCTACCGCCTCCACAGCCTGCCGCAGATCGCTCAGGTGGCCCTGCAGCACCATGGCGGCCAAGCCCTCTGCCCGTGCCCCGCAGCATCATCTGCGCACAATGGCACACGAGGGCGGAGTCGTGTCCCTGCTGCCTGTCTGCCATGTCCTGGGCTGTGCTGCTCCACGCGAGCCATGCCCAGGGGCTACTCTCCTCCGGGGGGGCTACTGATGAGGAGGGGGCCATGGGGGAAGGTGGGGCTGGGGTGACAGCATACGTGCCCACAGAGAGGGCTCTGAGTGCTGCCTCTGGCACGCATGCCATAGGTTCGGCACCACTGGCCTAGATATTCGTATATAAAACTTATTTTATTTTATGAACGAATGTATTTTGAAATGTAACATAACTTAATAGACAGCTCCTTGAATTTTTTTTTACATCTTACAAAACTCACCACACATCTTTATCTTGGAATAATAATAATAATAATAATAATAATAATAATAATAATAATAATAATAATAATAATAATAATAATAATAATAATAATAATAATAATAATAATAATAATAATAATAATAATAATAATAATAATAATAATAATAATAATAATAATAATAATAAAGTTGGAAGGGACCTTGGAGGTCATCTAGTTCAACCTCCTGCTCAGGCAGGAAACCCTATACCATTTCCGACAAATGGCTGTCCAGTCTCTTCTTAAAAACTTCCAGGGTTGGAGCATTCACCACTTCCGGAGGCAGGTTGTTCCACTGGTTAATTGTTCTAATGGTCAGGAAGTTTCTCCTTAGTTCTAGGTTGCTTTTATCATTATATCACTATGTGTTCTTTTCATAATCTTTACTGCTGCTATCCATGTATTTCATGTTAAATATGTTAAATAAAAAAAAGTTTATTTATTCTGTCCCTGAACAGCCTGCAATGGGACTTACTGGTGGTCCTCTGGCACCTTCTTGGCCTGGTAGCCCCGGTTCTCCAGGTTTACCCTGAAAGAATCAAAACACATTTAGAATAGATTCTTGCACTGCTAAGCCATAAATCAGATTCCCATACTGCTTTGGCATAGTTTACACAATGCACAATGCCACACAAAAACAAATGCATTCTGATGGAGCTCTGGAACCTTTTGACCAATAATAATGTGGCACAGTTCTTATTTACTTATTTGTATCCTATCTTTATTGTTTTTACAAATAACTAAAGGCAGAAAACATATCCCACATACCTCCCTCCTCCAATTTTCTCCACAATAATAACTTTGTGAGGTGGGTTGGGCTGAGGGAAAGTGACTAGCCCAAGGTCACCCAACTGAAAACAAATTAAGTCCAATCCACCCTAATTTTTCAGGATATATTAAATAGAAACTGATTCTAAAGTGCTGAACGTAAATCCTATGATTGTGATCAAATAAACTTGTCAAGCCAAACTGAAAGAAAAAACAGGAATATTTTCCACCTTCCTATACAGCAGACTTTAACGTAGCAAGTTAGCTTTGTTTAGTCTACATTCTCAACCATCATGGGTCTCACTTACTCAGAGTTTTTCTCAGACTAAATGCCGTTTTAGTTCCCTCACTGAGTGACATACAAATGTAGGAAAGCATAGCATGAAAAGTGTCTTTCCTCACCCAAATTTACGAATATAAGGAGAGACTGTGACATCGTAGCCAGAGAACAAAGAACAGTGACAAAAAACAATAGGCAATTATTTTAATAACAAACTATCTTCTTACTGGTTCCCCCGGTGATCCTGGCTTGCCATCTTTGCCATCATTTCCAGCTACACCCTAAAACAGAACCCAAATAGATAAACAAAATTAAAGATGCAAAGATTCTGCAATATTTTTTGGGGGTGAGGTGATTCTGAGAATAAAATAAAAAACTGACCAAAGATGACTATTTTAGGAAAATTAGACAAAATTAGACTATATACTCAGTAGCAAACCTGCCAACTCCATGCTGTGGAAAATCCATAAAAAAACCTAGGATGTATGAAAAGAAGCAAGTCAAACCAACTAACTAGGGTTTGTTGCTTCAGTGGCCCAGCCAATGAAATGCATAATGTATATGCACACCAAATAATACTTCATTTATTTAAAATGATATATCCCTTTTCATAGATAAACACTTCAAATGCATCAGGCCATGCTTCTAACAGTGGAGCAAAAAGTGGTTAATGTTCATTAATGGTGTTTACTGCAGTTTAGTTCCATGCTAATATGATGATGGTGTTATACTTTCAGTCAGAATAACAGAACAACAGAATTGGAAGGGACCTTGGAGGTCTTCTAGTCCAACCCCCTACTCAGGCAGGAAACCCTATACCATTTCAGACAAATGGCTGTCCAGTCTCTTCTTAAAAGCTTCTAGCATTGGAGCATCCACAACTTCTGGAGGCAAGTCCTTCCACTGATTAATTGTTCTAATTGTCAGGAAATTTCTCTGCCAAATTTCTCCTCTAAGTGTCCCACACTTAGTGATTCTATGGACCAGGAGTCTCCACATCTTCTGATCTTGCACTACACTTCTTTGAGTTGTTCTATGCTCTGGCTGGTGTAAGCTTTGAACCACCGGTTTTTTTAGTGGCCTTTCACTGCTAACTCTTCCAAACACAATTGCTTTCTCCAGTGAATTCCCCTGCATGAAGTGGCCAAAGTAAGTGAGATGCAGTTTTGTGATGTTGCCCCGTGCTAACATAGCTTCACACATTTATACACCTGTCAAAAATTGATATTCTGTTTGACAGGAAGCTTTTTAGAGTATATACTTTTCCAGTTATGATTCTACACTGGAATCTTTTTGCTAACTCAACTTCTGAGGTTTTGCTTGCAGTCATATCCCTGTACTAACATTCAAACCATCCCCATGCCTCATAGTTCTATTATCTTTTACCGCAAGGTGCATAATTAGACAATCCATCATTATTAGTCAAGATCCAGAGCCACAGCTAGGTTCACAAGTGCAGAAGGGATTCATTTAGAGGGGGTGGAGATTGAGGTTGACCTGAGTCATCACACATACTGCACTCACTTTTTTTGTTTAAAAAAAAAAGATAATTCCACGTCTTTTTCCATTAGATGTCTAAGAATGATAATATAGTTGAGGTACTGAGTCCATGGTGAATATAATCTGGAGCCATTTCACACATGAGAGGGCACCACTAATCTTAAATCAGTGTGTCCCCTATATCTCCTTGACTTTAGGAAGCTCTAAAAACTAAGTTAATTAACTCTTGGTTCATTTCCTGACCATAAACACTGTAAGGCAGTTTTGTAGGGTTCCTCCAGAGTTGTTTAGCAAGGCCATTTCTCAGTGGTGGAAATGCTTGTTCCAGCTCACCTCCTGACTCCTGGAATCCCTCCTCTTTTCTGCAACCTTGACATCATGCTCCCAATCTTCCTACCCGTTCTGATGGATGGCTTTGACCCTTGAACAGCTTTGTCCCACTTTGTTGTAAAACGCAAACTCAGAAAAGAAGATTGAGTGTGGGAGAGGATTGCCAGAGGATTGTACATAGCAATAAAGATATCCATGCACAACCGTAAAACTATTTTGAGTCAAAATATGGATTCATCTTGGCCAATAATCTTGATTCTAGGTAGAACAGATCTTCAAGATGATGCGAAGCAGGGCTGTAAAAGGATCTCCTAAGATCCTTTGACAGTGGAGATTTTGAACTTGTTTGTAAACAAAGCCTTCTTTCTATCACCATGGTCTTGGACTACCTTGATACCTTGATAGATTTCTCTCTCCTTACCAGGAGACACTTTTATCTTTACCTTCTCTTAATTTTTTTTCCTTCCATGAATTATCTTTCTTTTCATAGATTGTCTCACCAAGTTTGAAATAATTAAAATTAATTGAAATCTGATTGCATGCCTGCCAATTCAAATTAAGAGGTTTTTTTTTTAAATGTCAAGCAATATGTGCACAGCCTACTATCTTAACATGCTATATAGCTACATGGGGGTGGGGATGGGAAGATATTGGGCACAAAACCTATAGACAACCATACATGCTTCTCTTTAGCTCTGATATACACGTGGCACCTCCATTCCAGCTGAATTATTTCAGGATCCAGTAGAAATACTTCTATGTTGTTGTTAGTTGTGAAGTCGTGTCCAACTTCACAACTTAACAAATAAACTAACACCCTTGAAAGTTAATTCTTGGCAAAAGAAAAAAAGAAAAGAAAAAAGAAAGAAAAAAGAAAAATGCTTAGGAGTGGAAGGCTCTAAGGGTCATCTCTAAATGTGGATCAACTTGTTGTTGTTGTTAGTTGCAAAGTTGTGTCTGACCCATCACAGCCCCATGGACAACATTCCTCCAGGCCTTCCTGTCCTCTACCATCTTCTGGAGTCCATTTAAGCTCACTCCTACTGCTTCAGTGACTCCATCCAGCCACCTCATTCTCTGTCGTCCCCTTCTTCTCTTGCCTTCAATCTTTCCCAGCATCAGGCTCTTCTCCAGTGAGTCCTTCCTTCTCATTAGGTGGCCAAAGTACTTGAGTTTCAACTTCAGGATCTGGCCTTCTAAAGAGTGGTCAGGGTTGATCTCCTCTAGGACTGACCGGTTGGATCACCTTGCAGTCTAGGGGACTCGCAGGAGTCTTCTCCAGCACCATAGTTCAAAGGCCTCAATTCTTTGGCACTCAGCCTTTCTTATGGTCCAACTTTCACAGCCATACATTGCAACTGGGAAAACCATGGCCTTGACTATACGTTCTATTGTTGGCAGGGTGATGTCTCTGCTTTTTAGTATGCTGTCTAAATTTGCCATAGCTTTTCTCCCCAGGAGCATACTTCTATAGGGGCCTGAAATTCAGAGTAAACCCTATTTTGTAAATTTTATCTTCCATCAATAGTTACAAATATTCATACTCACCATGAGTCCAGGCAATCCTGGGGGTCCCTGAGGTCCTGGGGGACCTTCTTTCCCCTGTCAAAGAGGATACTACATTAGAATCATTAAGGTGTTTGGATGAAGAAGACCTGAAATCAAGTCCTTACTTTGTACAGTCATTATACCAGATCCTGTCTCTCTCCCAGATCTGAAGAACTGTAATAGCTTTCTGGAAAGAAATATCCCACTCCATTTATCTCCGCCCCCCATTTATTCCCCCAAATTTACCACCATGATCAATTCAGAGAGAAAAAAAGCAAAACTCCAGAAGTCTTAAGAAATCTCTCAGAGCCTTAGTGAAATAAGCTTGAAGATATCCTTGGAGCTTTTAGATTTTCCCCTTCATGGAACCCATCACTCATAGACACCCCAAAGGTGTTTTTCTCCCCAAAAGACAACTAGACTTTCTTGATTTTTGATCTGAAAATGTTCTGCTTCTCGTCTGCTTCTCTGAAGAAGAACTGAAGAAGATTCCTGGATGAGATGTAAAACATTTTCCAAGGGAAAAAAACCCAAGAAACTCCAGCTGACTTTTGGAAAAAGAAGCTTTGGGATAATTTTGACCTCGATGATTGATAATTTCAGTCATTCATAGACTCAACTCTCTCAGATCTTTTCCAATGTTCTAAAAGTACTGAGGCCCCTTTTGTGAGGATTCTGTAATATTCAGAATGAATATTAGAATATGAAGAATATCAATTTCTTCCCTCAAGATGACACTACAGGGCATTGCACACCGGAACAACTAGACGTAAGGATAGATTTTTCCCCATGCTGTCACTCTGCTTAACAACTAATTCCTACAACACTGTCAAAATACTAGTAAAGCTGTATTACTATGATGCTCCTCATCTTTCCTATTACTTATCCTTATCTTCTTATGACTATAACTTGCTGTTTGTATCTTACAATTTATATCTTTTTGTATCCTAGTATGATTTATGTTGTTTGCTTAGCTAGTACTCTAAGACTATCACTAAGTGTTGCATCTTGTGATTTATGAAGTGTTATATTTCACAATTTATGATGAATGTATTTTCATGTTGTATATGATCATGATTACCACTATTACTTGTATGTACACTGAGACTTTACACACTGGAAACAAAATCCTTGTGTGTCCAACCACACTTGGTCAATAAAGTATTCTATTCTATTCTATTCTATTCTGTTCTGTTCTGTTCTGTTCTGTTCTGTTCTGTTCTGTTCTATTCTATGAACAGCAACTTACCATTTCTCCTGGAGGTCCTGGAGAGCCTACAGGTCCCGGAGAGCCCTCTGCTCCCTAAACAACAATGAAAAAATGTATTTAATGTAGCAATTCTTTATCCTAGATATGATGGCCTTGAAGTTTTCATTTACCATCATGCCCCACCCTGCAAAAAACATACATGATAAATTGATAGTTGATGCAGAATTTGTATCTCTGGAGAAACATCTTTCTTATATGGCTTGGAGATAATTTTTGCACATTAGTGCTGAAAGTCTCTGTATTGGCTGTAGCAAATATTGTACCATGATAGTGTGGAAGGAAAAGTCTTCATCAGGGTCCAGTCCAAGCCAGGAATAAACAACATGGCGACTGCTTTAGAAAGAAGGTTGTAGTTTATTGAAGGGGAGAGCCAGACAGAAAGATGGCTCTGGAAGAAAAGAGAGAGAGCACATGTAGGGAGTGGGCTTTTATACCCTCTGGGGCTCTTGAGATTGTTTCCTGTTCCTGTTTGAGGCTTTGTATTTCTTGTGTCATGTACTTTGACCGGAGTCTGAGTTTGCCCCATTTGGCATCTGTGGGTTAATCCTATTATGTCCTGTCTTAGAGTTTGGGTGGGGCATGTAGATTTTAGGTGTCTTTGTCTTCCTAAGCTTCTAGCTGGAGGGCTCCAACCTTCCTGAATGGGTTATCACATCTGCATTTCTACAGAATTTGTTTCTGCTTTGGGGAGGGAGACTTACGGCTATTAAGAAAAACTGGACATGCTTTTCTGGGCATGCTTTTTCTTTAAGATCCTTTGAGGAAATATAATATTCTGCCCTTTTAATATTTCCTTCTCTGGGGGGGGGGGGGCTGACTTCCCACAATAGATGGACAGACTTTAATAAGATGAGCACCTATAAAGGAAAGTCCATCTATCCTGGTACAATATTTGCTACAGCTCTGAGATCTAGACTCTAGGAGTCTATATAATGCTCCAAGGTACAAATTATTGAATTATCATCAATGACAACCTCATAAAATTATTATTGAAATCATCATCAATAACTGATTCATCATCAATAACATCAACATTATTGAATTATCATCAACAATAATCAAAATTATTGAATCATCATCACCATAATCTCAAATAGATTTATAACAACAATTTGCCTTATATTCTAGTAGATGAAGGTTAAAAATTAACATGCAAATGAAAATCTTACAGCTGGGCCTGGATTCCCAGGGGGACCCATGAAGCCAGGCATCCCAGGATGACCCTACAGACAAGAACAATATTTATTACACATGTTATTATTTGTACAGTATAGTTCATGTTCTTCTTAAGTGTTACAAGCAAACAACTTACCACCCTAAGTGTGTATCAAGCACTTCATATACCACCTAATTCTTGAAGAACAGCTACAGTAACATGCATTAATTTCAAGGTGGAAGCATGGTGGCTCATGTGGTTAGAATACTGGGTTGACAATTTGCAAGCCCACGTTTGAGGCTCGAATGCTGCTGTATAATGGGGCGAGTTCCTGGCATTCGCTCCAGCTCAGGGATCTTCAAACTTGGCCCTTTTATGACTTGTGGACTTCAACTCCCAGAATTCCTCAGCCAGGCACGGTGATGTTTTGATACTGTGCAACTAGTAAATTAACGAGGTATGTGATGTCCTCTTGGTTTTTTGGTGTATTGATGGACAAATATATAAGAAATACATATGTGAAGACTCAAAAGGTATATTGGTGAATCCATAAATGCATGCATATGCAGAGAAGTCTGTGTTTAACACTCTGACTAATTTGTAGTGAATGTTAGATAGATGGCTGTTTTGTCATGCAGAGGTTATGGATGAGAATTAAATTACAAAATAAATATATAAAGGCAAAGTGAACTGGACAAAAATAAGGAGACGACTCAGAAAGATATAACTGAAGGGAGTGCATAACATCTTCATAATATGAAATGAGTTGTGCCATTTTTTTAAAAAAAAGCAATGTAGGAAGCAGTCTCTGGGCGTGGTGTAAGCAAGGATGGTTTATTAGAAGAGAAAGATAAGAAAAAGTCTTGGTGTAAATTGGTTTGGGTATATTTTCTTTTCTTATTAAAATCGAATGTCTTTAATTGCTTTGGCCATTTTGTTATGCTTTCTGCACTCTGCATTATTCTACTTATGCCAAAAGGGAATAGAATAAAGGCCTTGTGTATATTTCTGTATGCACACAATCTACCAGCCAAAATGTTTGGGTTCCAGACTATAAACCACTTTCTTGGCCCTATCACTATTTTAAGAAAAGTATGAATGACAAAGTATCTCATCTACATTCAACCTTAGTTGTGTTTATGATTTTCCCCAGGAATATGGTTTCAACATAATACGGCATGCTATTTGTCCCTTGAGAACATAGCAAGCACAGTTTCTGAATAAATAAATACTCTTCTCTCTGTGTATCTGTATCAGAAATGCACATAAATAAAAATAAGCATCTGCAATACATCTGAATTATATTGGGTTTTTTTCCCCTTATTTTTGTTGTGTGTGAAGAACAAAAGTTTGAGGAATGACAAAGTGTTACTGAGACCTCCATGGGGATTTAACATAGCTGGTTCAACTTAAGCAGTAATTTCAACCTCGCAGGACCA